AAATTACAAAGGAATATTACATAAAGATTAAATTAAGTAATTATATTTTTCATTCCATAAAATATTTATTTTATTTTTTATAATAAATTTTATTTTTTAAATACAATAATAAAAAATTAAAACATATTAAATATAGCCTAAAAAAAATTGATAGTACATCCAATTTTATGTATAACTTATCAATTTATTTAAAAAAAAAATCGATAAAGAGGAGGAAGGAGAAGGGAGAGGGAAAAGGCAATTAGGAGGTTTTCCGGAATTCAAACCCCGAACATGAGAAGGTACACAATGTTTCCCTAGCTCTAAGAGCATGTTTGGTTAGATGATAATTTTATTGAGAAAGTTGTTATTAGGAGAATTTTATATGTACAATTGAAAATTAATGTATGAAAGATTGATAAATTTTATAATAAAAATTTATTAAAATTTCAGTGTTAATTTTTTTGTATTTAGTAAAAAATTGACACAAAAGACTAATAATAAAAAAAGTTGTTAAATAAATCTAATATACATATATTAATTTTTTTTCAAAATGCTAGGAGACCATGACCTTTATTTTAGTATTGACTTCTCAGTACCTGATGATTACATTAAATTTTAATTAATTCAGAATCAAGTCGCGTCGAACCTAATTAAGAGAGAAGCTCTTCTAACGTCTGTTTCTTCATTCACAAAACTTGAACTTGAGATCTTATTTAAAAAAAACTGAACTCTTTCCACTTGGATCAACAGATTATCAGTGACCATAACCTTTATAGCCCTTGAGATTTTCTATCTATGAGGGGAAATAAAGGAATTTCTCTCAAATTTTTTTATAATTTTACCATAACCAAATAAAAGAAGAGGAAAATGGGAAGATATTGCCTCTCGTCTCCTTTGTCTCTCACAAACTAAAGGTAGACGTTCAATAAGTTCCTATGGCATTCTACATTCTAAAAGATACTATAACCGTCCAACACTTGGGGGTTTATTGGCCCCTCCTTGCAAGATGTGTTTAGAACTATCAAAACCTGATTTTTAATCCTAGGTC